AAATAAATATTAAAAATTACATTTATGATGGCAGTGGTATAAAAAATATAATCCAGTCTAGATTCATTCTTATGTCTTCATTATTATTCTATTTTTTCCTTCTGATTCTAAAAGCAGTCAAAATTTAAGCACTTTGTGGGTACCTAGAAGCACGGGGCGCTCCGGGCTCTGAACCAGAGAACCAACCATCACAGCCCCTGCCTCCAGCCCTCAGGGGGTGACCTGCTGTGTACAACCACCCTATTGCGGAACAGAGGATCAGAACACAGCCCTGCTGGCCCGGCCCCACCTCTCCTTCTTGGTTTGCTGTAGAGTCCAGATCCCTCTACCCCAGCCTCACTGCAACAGGGCCTTGGGCCACCATCTACCCTTCAGTTTATTCAGGAACAGCTAGGAATAATACTAACAATAATAATAACCAATGACAATCTGAAGTCCTCAGCCCTGCTCAAAGCACTCTATGTGGCAGGCTCTGGGTTCAGCCACTGACTAGCTATGTGACTGCCAGCAAGTCAGTTTTCCCATCTGAGGAATGGACATAATGTTAGTCCCCCCCACAAGGACACTGACGCATAAAGATATTAACATATGCAGCAGGTCAGCCCAGTGCTGGTGCAACCTGGCATCTCAGTTGGTATCGGTTATTACAATTAACCCTAACCCACCGATTCATTTTTTTTACTATTTATTTATTTGGCTGCATCGTGTCTTAGCTGCCGTGCACTGGCTTTTTCCCCTGCATTGGAAGGCAAAGTCTTAACTACTTGACCATGAGGGAAGTCCCCCATTGGCTCTTTATAGCAATTATTTATAATAATTGGTTCCAGTAGGGGCCGCCTCACCTCCTCCTTCTCCTTTGCCCTAGAAGCACTGACCTTGGGCTGAGCGCCCCTCAATGTGTGCTGGTTCAGCATCGTCAGAACCCAACCCTCTCCCCACACGAACTCAATCAACGGACCCTCCCTAATCCTGCTTACCTAATTCTTCCCTCCCAGAGGAGGCAACCAGAAGCCCACCCACCTGCTCCAAGCCTCTCACCCCCACCTCCCCATCTTTCCCCAGCTGACTTGTTCCCAAGGGACTCCCGAAAAACCAGCTTTCTGGTTCCTCCAATCAGGTAATTCAGGGCTTGGCTCCCTCTTGGTCTCCTGTTTCTCCTAGGTTTATCTTCTCCCAGTTGGACCGTAAAGAAGGCTGAGTGCCAAAGAATTTATGCTTTTGAACCGTGGTGCTGGAGAAAACTCTTGAGAGTTCCTTGCACAGAAAGAAGATCAAACCAGTCAATCCTAAAGGAAATCAACCTTGACTGTTCATTGGAAGGACTGATGCTGAAGTTAAAGCTCCAATACTTTGGCCACCTGATGCGAAGAGCTGACTCACTGGAAAAGACTCAGATGCTGGGAAACACTGAGGGAAGGAGGAGAAGGGGATGACAGAGGATGAGATGGTTGGATGACATCACTGACTCCATGGATATAAGTTTGAGCAAACTCCGGGAGACAGTGAAGGACAGGGAGGCCTGGCGTGCTGCAGTCCTTGGGGTCATAAACAGTCAGACACGACTGAGCGACTGAACACAAGCATGGAGAGACTCCTTTCTCTCCACCACCTGCTTATCACATCATCTTATCACATGATCTGGTGCGACATCCTTCTCAGTTAATGTTTTCTGAGGATTTAAAAGGCTTCTCCCTCCCCACCCATGGGTTCACTCCTGCAGTGTGATCCTGACAAACAGGGGGCTTTGAAGCCAGCAGGAGTGGGGTTTAAATCCAGCTCCACAACTGACCAGCCGTGTGACCTTGGGCAAATCAATTAACCTCCCTGAGCCCGGCATTGTTTGCCTGAAATTACGAAGACAATCTTATTTTCTTTCGCAGCAGGACTCCCTGCTAAAGGAAACTGGGGTATTTTTGAGGGGTGAAAACTTCGATAAGCTCTTCAAGGTAGAGGCAAGAGCCCCCTACTTGCTTGCTACAGGTCATCTTATGACGGGATTAGTTTCCGGGTCGTCTCTGGCCAATCATTCTAGCCCAGGTTCTTCCTGGTGGCATCACTCAGCCAAGATGGATTCCAGCAAGAAGGATTCTGGGAGGTTGGTAGGACATGTGAGGTGATGTCTCCTCTCCTTTTGACATCCAGCCTCTTCAGAATGGACCCATCATCTCTTCCACCTGCTCTTTTCCCGCCTTCCCCATCTCAGTGGTACCACTACTTACTCTGTCCCAGCCAAATGACAGCCCAGAGCAAGGGGTCTGGTCATCTCAACCTAGGGTCCCATCCCCAGAATAATGTTTTCAGCTGCATAAAATAAAATAACAAGATTACAGAAGAAACCAGTTATATTGAATTGCAATTAGCAAAATACTCAAACACATGTGTTGTATCATAATATACGTGCTCCTTCATTACCATGTTAGATAAGATTCAGCAGAAGCTCTAAGAAGCACTGCCCTTTTGAAGGAGTGCATTGCAAGATATCTGCACAACCATAGCGTGATATGAAAACTGCGGTTCCTATTGGTGGCTACATCACAGGTGCCGCCCACAACTGTGATGGTTGCCTCCCTTCATATTTAAAAGATATTCTAAATGTCAGTTACAAGAGAAATAAAGATGCAACTTCTCCCCCATCCAGTTCATGGACGCCCTCAAGTCTGTGGACTCCACACTAGGAACCCCTGACCTAGAGGCTCAGTTTTTCCACAGTCACCCACTCCTGCTTACCTCACTTAATGAGTCTGCAAGCCCTGCTGACTCCTCACTGGAGGGCGCTGGGGCTGCACAGTGCTGGGGCCTCACCCTTTCTCACCTCCGCTCCGGCCTCCTCACCTCCATTCTTGCTCCACTCTGCGCCCTGAATCCTCATCCCCCAATGCAAACCTGACTGTATCACCCTTTGCTCTGGATTCTTCAATGGCTCCCTATTGCCTGCAGGATAAACTCTACAGACCTTTGCAAAGCACCAAGACCCTCACCAGGCTCTCCAGCCTCATCTCTCAACATTCCTCCTCACCTGACTTTCCACACTCCCATCATTTTGAACTACATGAAGTTGCCAGAATATGACAACTCACTAGGCCTTTTCCTATGCTGTTCTCTCCACCTAGAATGCCCTCCCCAAGTTATCCACTGGGCTTCCCAGATGGTAAAGTACTTGACCAATCGCCTGCCAATGAAGGAGACATAAGAGACACAGGTTCAATCCCTGGGTCAGGAAGATCCCCTGGAGGAGGGCACTGCAACCCACTCCAGTATTCTGGCCTGTAGAATCCCATGGACAGAGGAGCCTGGCAAGCTACAGTCAGAGAGTCACAGAGTCAGACACGACTGAAGCCACCCAGCATGCATGCACGCAAGCTGTCTGTCAAGCAAACTCTTAAAGTTTATTCCAAAGTCTCAGCTCAAATGGTTGCTTGCCCATTCCCCACCCCACCCATCCGCACCCCCAGGCAAACGTAGGTTCCACCCCTTCCCCCCCCACCCCCCCACCCCACCCCTGTCCTGCCCCGCAGGACTCACCCCACCCAGTTCACCAAGTTACAATCTTTTAATGAGTCCATATCTCTGAGTCTATATCTCTCCAAGATCATAAACTTCAGGAGGGCAACAATGGAATTATTTTTTCTTTGACTCCCCCAAACCTAGTACTTTCCCTGGAGCCCAGCAGGTCGTCAGTTGAATAAATGAATAAAACATTAAAAGAGAAAAAGAACTATGAATGAAAACTGATTTTAGGCATAATAAATGCATTTAACAACTGCAAAAAAAGAATAAACTATCTCTCGATCTGGAATAGCTGAAAACAGAGTAAGCAGGGGGCCGAAATCAACACTGTGCCGTGAGGCTCACTCTGATTTTCTGTTCTTCCCTTTACTATTTTGGTTAGATTGCCCACATCCTGGGAATGACGATGCATGCGTTTTGATCTATGGATCATGCTATAATTTCTTGGATTCTGCTCCCTATTCTTTGAGAGATCCTTCTGTTATATATACGTATCTCAATTAGGGGCCGATTATTTCCCTTACCTAAAGGTTCATCGTTTCGGTTTCATTAAACAGAGAGTTCTTCCAGTGCATGAAGAATAGGATTAGATTTATAGAAATTCAATTTACATCTGGCTTTTGAGGAATAGCTGTCGTACACAGCCAAGCCACTGCTCTATCTGTCAGGCCTCCTGAAGTCATGGTTTATGGGCTCCTTTCACTCCCTTCTGGCCAACTCCCGGCTTAACCCCTTATGACCTGGATCTGCTGAAGCTATTCTGGGCACCTGGCCACCTAATCCAATGACCTTTCCTTGGAGTCTTCTGTCTCCAGTTCCTGAAGTCAGGCTGCCGCCGCCAACCATCCAATTCTTCCTAAAATCCTCAAAATCCCTGACCTTTGCCCATGATCTCTGCTCACCCCGCCCCCACCCTTGAGCTTCCAGATGGGTTTGTTCATTTGGCTTCCTGCTGGCCATCTCCCCAAGGATGTCTCAAGGGCAATAAGCTAAAGCAGATAATCAACGTGCCCACCACCCCCAACAGGTTCCCCTTTCACATCCTTCAGGACACCACCGTATGGCCATTCTCATGACCACCTCCCTCTCCCTTGTGGACACATCCCATCCATCACCTCGCCATGTGGCATTCATCTCCTGGAAACATCTCCAGCTAACCATCTCTCTGTCCTGCATGTGTTAAGCTTCACCAAGAGCCGCAACTGTCTGTTTCCATTCATTACTCTAACTCCAGCACTTCTTAGCACCCAACCTGGCACATGAGACCCCAGTAAACACGTGCTGGTTCAGAGAATAAGGAAGCAAACAAATCCCACTCTACAAATGGTAACACTGAGGCTCAGAAAAAAGGAGTGATTGGTCCACAGTCACCCAGGGGGGCCAATCAGGTCTTAGCCTGAAGGTGGCTCCACCCTCCGCATTTTCCTCTGCTCTTGAGTGCAGGGTTGGTTCTGGTGGGTTCTTCCCCCACTGCCCAAGACCCTCTGCCTTACCTGAAAGCACCGTGAAGACAGCGGCGAAGGCATTGAGCTTGAGCCCGTCGATGACATTGCTGGAGTGGAAGAGCTCGAGACACATGAGGCTGAAGCCAACCACCAGCAGGAGGATGTAGAGGACCTCAGAGACCACCGACAGCCACAGGACCCCTGCACGGAGGAGGAGGGAGGTCGTGAGATGAGGACCCACAGGGCGGACTCTCCCTGTGTTCACTCCACCCTGTGCCCTTAGGTTGGAGGATCAAGTTGTTTTAGAGAAGACCATCGGATCTAAGATGGGTCCTAATTGGATAAGGAGATCCTGGCCAGGCATCCTCCTCACCGGGACTGGCTCAGGAACCCTAGCTGAAGTCCATCAGATCATGGCACTCTTGGGGTGATGGTTGCTGGTCCAAGCAGGCATGTGGACCATAAGCGGGTCCATTCAGACTGGAGGGAAGAACTTCCATCCTGTGGCTGGATAAGAGGCTCTTTTTCTCTTCTCATCTGTAAAGTGACTGCCGCTGAGGGCCATCTCAGGGCTGACACTAGTTGCTGGGCAGAGAGATGGAAAGATGATCTCATTGTTGTTGTTGTTTAGTTGCTAAGTCAGGCCCGACTCTTTGCGACCCAATGGACTGTAGCCCGCCAGGCTCCTCTGTCCATGGGATTTCCCAGGCAAGAATACTGGAGTGGGTTGCCATTTCCTTCTCCAGGGGATCTTCCCCACCCAGGGACTGAATTCCTGTCTCCTGCATTGTAGGCGGATGCTTTACCACTGAGCCACCAGGGAAGCTCATTGGGATACCCTGACCACCAACCAACCACCAACCAACCACCAACCCCCCGGGCTTCCCTGTAGCTAAGCAGGCCAGTGTGGTGGTCTCTGCTGCCTGTAGCTATAAACATCCCAGCTCTTACACACATCATGGTTGCCCTCAAAGGACACTTACATTTTTATTTACCCTGTACCCCACCCCATTTTTTTTTCTAGAAACCACTTACCTTCCAAGTCACACTAACCATAGGTTTTGAGAAGGAACTATGGACCAGACCTGGCCAGCAGGAGATGGACATATGACCCAAGACAGCTCAATGAGTCAGACACAGGACTTTTGCTGAAACAACTGGGAAAGACAATTCCTTTTTTTCCACTCAGTTTGAGATTGGGAAGGATGAAAGTGCCTGCCCTGAGTAGCAAGGGCCTTCTTGAGGGCAGAGCCAAGGCCAAGAAAGGCAGCACCAAGAGACAAAGGAAGATCATGTCCTGTGACATTGTTTGAGCCCCTAGATCCAGCCATGCCTGAAACTGCCCGTCATTCACCCTTTCAATCAGAGGAACCAAGAGTTCTTTTTCTTTGCCTAAGTTGCTTAGAGGTAGAATTTCCATCTCTTACCATCAACAGTACTGATCTTCAGCTTTTCTTTTCTCACAAGCTGTCCTTCCCTACCTCTCTGCCTTTGCACAAGCTGTTCCCTCCACGTTAATGTCCTAGGGACACCCGATACACACCATCCAGTGAAGGAAGCAAACAAACAGCAATTTCGGATCCCCTGTCTATTGGCTGATGACGAACCTAGATTCTCAAACATCCACTATCATTCCTGACGCAACAGGCCTTTCAGAGCTTTGAAGAACTTTTCTTTTCTCTTTTTCTCTCTCTTTTTGTGCTACAAAAATATCACCTCTCTTGGGCAATCCCTTGGATTTCTGTAAGAGAATAATGTGCTCTTGGCAGCCTGGATGTTAAAACACCCCCTGGCACCGAACACTCACAGCCTCCAAAGCCCTTTGCTGGCCCAGGGCCCACCAGGCAGCGGGGAGGAAGGCAGGAGGTGCAGGGTGAGCGGGGCCCTGCAGGGGGGCGGATGCCCGCAGGGAGGCCTGGTCTCGCTCCCAGAAGCCTTTACCTCCAGCTGCTGTTGCACTGCTGGTGGGCGGAGGCCGCCCCTCACCACGGTGAGGCTCTCTGACTCAGCCGACTCCCCCACATCGCCCCCGCTCCCCCAGCGGATGCTCTCCTCCTGCCCATGTGGAACTGGGGCCAAGCCCACACCCCACCACCTGCCCCTCCCAGCAGGGCCCAACTCTGCTCTTTCAGATGGGATGGGAGATGGCATGGACGTGGGGCAGTGAGGTGCTCCAGGAGTGAGTTAACCACGGAGAAACAGGCGCTGGAATCTCAGATGCGTGGCTGGGGTTATGCTGCTTCTTTCTGCCAGATTTATTTTCCTGTCTACCCACTGGGCTCAGAGCATCTGTCTGAAATTTTCAGCCCACCCAAGGCAAGGAAATTAGTAACTATAGTAAGAAGCAGGATCATTGCTGAGGTTATGCTATAGTAGCAGCAATGCCGCACTCAGGGCCAGGGTTTTTAGGCATCTTTCCGATGCCAAGTCATACTGGAAGGTGTTAATGCTCCACCCGATGTCCTTGCACTTCTTTTCAAGTCTTTCTGTCTTTGGAGGATTGTCTTCAGCAAGTCTTTCGACTTCATTTTGCCCATCTTCATTCAGAAAGTACCTGGAAACTTACATTTTTCTTCTCTGCGATGTCATCAGCCAGAGGCTGATCTGGGTGGTCCCGCCCCATGGCTCTGGCAGAGGCAATTTTGGGACCGGACACACATTGCAAAATTCCCTCTGGGCCAAAGCGGAAGCTGCCCTTCCTGGGCTCTGGCCTGACATCAACCCTTCGCTTGCCTTCCTCCCTTCCCCATTCTGCTCTCTCCAGTTCCCTTACCACTCTCCCCTGGGGTGTGCATCCGTGCTAAGTTGCTTCAGCCGTGTCCCACTCTTTGCAATCCCCATGGACTGTAGCCTGTCAGGCTCCTCTGTCCAGGGGATTCTCCAGACAAGAACACTGGAGTGGGCTGCCATGCCCTCCTCCAGGGGATCTTCCTGACCCAGGGATCGAACCCACATCTCTTAGGTCTCCTGCACTGGCAGGTAGGTTCTTTTTACCACCGGTGCCACATGGAAAGCCCTTCCCTGGAGCATTTCTTTATAAATGACATGCACATGGATCCTCATCCTAGGATCTGCTTCCAGAACTCTGGCCTCAGACACCAGTATTCACATGCATGATCTCCGCCAGTCTTCCTGACAGCTTAGCAAGGCAGCACCCATTTTATAGATGAGCAAACTGAGGTTCCAAAGGATTAAGCCACTGGTCTACACATCTGGGTAGTGAGTGATACAGTCAGTTTGGGTTCAAACTCAGGCCTCTCTGACTCCAGAAACTATCATGGGCAGGGAGGTTATAAATTAGCAGGAGAGTGTGGCCACTTTGAAGTCACAAGGGGGAAGTTGGGTTCCCTGGCCACGGCTCTCATCTACATGCACTCCAGCGTCCCTAAGAATTCTTGAGCCAGAATTCCTGCAGGAGGAGAGCCACAGACTGGGATTGTGGTGGGGGGAGGGCATTCTCAATGATCCTAAGCCCAGCTGGCCATGAGGTGTGGTGGGGAAGGAGGTCACAGGGGAAAGTAGATGAGTCTTAAGGATGCTGGTGAGACAGGCTGGGACCTGGGACCCTTGGTTGCAATGCTTGCACCTGGACAAAACTCTCTTCAAGCAACAAAAACACAAAGAAACTATAAGGGACTAAAAATAACTGTGTGCCTGCGCAGTTGGGGCAAATAATGGACAATAAGATACAAAAAGACCAAAAACCTGGGGCTTCCCTGGTGGCTCAGTGGTAAAGAATCTGCCTGTAAATGCAGGGGACAATGGTTCCATCCTTGGTCCGGAAAGATGCCACATGCCTCGGAGCAACTAAGCCCAGTGTACCACAACTACTGAGCTGGCTCTCTGGAGCCCACGCTCTGCAACAAGAGAAGCCGCTGCAGTGAGAAGCCTTTGCACCAACAACTAAAGAGTAGCCCTCAGTTGTCACAACTGAAGAAGGCCCGTGTGCAGCAAGGAAGACCCAGCACAGCCAAAAAATAGGTAAGTATAATACAGAGTAAAAAAATACTCTTTAAGAAAACAATTGTCACCACTAAAGATCTGGGAGCAAAAGCAGGTACTGCTTATGACCCCTACACACACCATCATCAAAGAGGTGGGCAAGCTACCCCTCTGGCCAGATCCCTGGACTCTCCCCTACCATCACCCCATATAAGGAAACAGCTTGTCCTCTCCCCTCCACCCTACTGGGGGAGTGAGTAAGAGAAACTGTTGCTTGTTCTCATTCCCTCCTGCTGCATCAGGGGCCCCCAATAAAGCCTGGCCTGAATTACCTGTCTGGCCTCTTATCAATTTGTGTTGATTAAGGAGGTTAAGAACCTTGGTTGGTAACATTGGGAACCAGGCTGAAAAACATGGGCTTGACCCATAACGCAGAGGTAGGTGTTGTCCTAAAGGTCTTAGCAAGGAAAAGACATGCCAGGAGGCTCACTCTGGAAGGGGGCCTGACTAGCAGATCCACTGGAGGCTTTGACCATGCTCCATGAAGAGTGGCACTAGTGGTAAAGAATCCACCTGCCAATACAGGAGACATAGGACCTAGGACATAGGACATAGGTTTGTGACATTGTACAGGAGACAGGGATCAGGACCATCCCCAAGAAAAAGAAATGCAAAAAGGCAAAATGGCTGTCTGAGGAGGCCTTACAAATATCTGTGAAAAGAAGAGAAGCAAAAAACAAAGGAGAAGAGGAAAGATATACCCATTTGAATGCAGAGTTCCAAAGAATAGCAAGGAGAGCTAAGAATGCCTTCATCAGCGATCAATGCAAAGAAAAAGAGGAAAACAATAGAATGGGAAAAACTAGAGATCTCTTCAAGAAAATCAGAGATACCAAGGGAACATTCCATGCAAAGATGGGCTCAATAAAGGACAGAAATGGTATGGACCTAACAGAAACAGAAGATATTAAGAAGAGGTGGCAAGAATACACAGAAAAACTGTACAAAAAAGATCTTCATGACCCAGATAATCACGATGGTGTGATCACTCACCTAGAGCCAGACATCCTGGAATGTGAAGTCAAGTGGGCCTTAGGAAGCATCACTACGTACAAAGCTAGTGGAGGTGATGGAATTCCAGTTGAGCTATTTCAAATCCTAAAAGATGATGCTGTGAAAGTGCTGCACTCAATATGTCAGCAAATTCGGAAAACTCAGCAGTGGCCACAGGACTGCAAAAGGTCAGTTTTCATTCCAAT